CTTTTCCCTGTACCTGTGACTCTGCTTGTGGCTAGATAACAACTGCTAGAAAGACTAGTAAATAAAGTGGGAAGCGAAGAGCACTGCTGAGCCATTGCTCAGTTTGTCTAGAAAGGTGGGACTTCAACTGCAGATGCCAAGGCTAGAAAGCAGAAATGCTTTCAGTGTTTATGATAGCAGGGAAACCCAGAGTCCAAAGGATGCCTGTCCCTGTCTAAAAATGTATAGAACATGGGTTTTTTTGTTTTTAAATTGTTCTCAGTATTAGCCTTTTAGGAAGGTTCTTGCATTTTAGATTCGAGAGTTAGTAAAATGCCAGTAAGAAACTTTATTGGCCAAAATCACTTCTCAGTGGCACAATCTCCTCCCTTGGGTTGGGATTCTGAAAGGAAGAAAAGCAAATTCAAATTAGACGATGTTCCTTTAAATCTGTGAGGTCTGCCCCTCTCATAATCTTACTTTTCTAGGAACTTAATGGCTGTGTAGGGAGATCTTCCTTTGGGTTAGGATTTCTTACCAATCCTGCTTTGTGCAATGTGTGCGTATGGTTCAGGGGCACCTTATTAAGAAACAGAGAAAGTATCAGATACTCATTACAAATCATGACATCTAACACCTAATGCTGTAAATGTTACTTTTTTGAATATTTCACCTCTTGTGATCACTATTATTTGTGGGCTAATGTTGTGTTATGCATTATGTCCTGTGGTGAACATCTAGTAATAGATCTGTTAGACATCACTTTGCTTGTTTGCCAGTGATATATGTAAACAACACTAGTTACGCATACGTATTTCTTTGGCAGTGCCACTGTCATCCTGCATGTAGATGCTCATGTTAAAGGCACAGCCATTAGCCTTTTGACACACTTGCGCTTCCCCCATCCAGAAGAAGTTAGTTGTTAGCATCAGAACTCCTTGGTTAAACATGCTGCAGTTAAGAAATCATTTACATGAATTGTGTATTGAGGGCGTCTGGGGGAAATAGTGGTTTTGGGGGCAGGAGATAAGACCACAGATTTACGGTGCAAGAAATCTTTGGGGAGGAAGAGGGAGGTACTGTCTCAGGTCCAGTTGAGAGTGGAACTGTGCTGAGCCAGTGCAGCAGTGTCCCCGACCTGTCCCTGCAGAGGTCTCTTGGGCCAGAGTGAAGGTGAATGGGTCTGAGCGAAGGAAAATTAGGCTCTCCCTCTCTTTTTAATTTGTTTTGCCTCTGGATAGAGCGGGAATACAAAAGGAGCTCTCGAGTCCTGTGATGTGTATTTCATAGTGAATTCGAAGAACCATATTTGTAAAAGGGAGAACCACTCCCTAGGCTAGGCAGCTCACTGCTGCAGGTCTTGTTTTCCAGAAATACTGTAGGTCTCAAAATGGAGGTGGTTATTTATGTGGGAGTGGCAGGTGCCACTAACTAAACACTGTAATTTATCCGGGGAAAGTCTGACTGCAGCTTTCTGGCGAGGTAGGTGGGTGTAGAGTGGCTGGGGGGGGGGGGGGCGGCTGTACAATCACAGATAGGCCAGGGAGGAGCAGGAGGAGACCGAGAGCTCTGAAGGGGATGCGAAGTGAGGAGGAGGGATGGAAATGGTGAAAACCAGACTGTTTCAGATGCCGGTTGAGATTGACTCGTGTCAGTCTCACTCAAGATTCTTGTATTTATGTCTGTAGCCGCTGAACATGGATCTTAATCTGTTCCTAGGCCTGAGCTTTGGGGGAGGGAAGGGAGGGAAGCTGTGGATTAAGAGATGCTCTTAACAAAACTGGCTAGTCAGTGTTGTCTTAATATTGTTGACAATTCTGTAAAGTTCCTTTTTATGAGGATTTGTTTTAGCAATTTACTTTTTTGACTCCCTCCTTTTTAAAGAGAAAATGTGACACTTGTGAAAAGCTTGTAAGAAAAGCAGTTTCTTTTTTCCTCAATGATAGATCCTATAGTTAATTAAGATTGTGAATTTTTATTTTTTTGCCTTGTTTTTAATTAACATTTGTCATTCAGAATAGTATGTGTGAAAATGTTTAAATGGCAAAACAAAGATTTTTTTTTTTGTGCAATTAACAAAGCTACTGGCAAAAAGAATAAAATCTTTCTTGGTAACACAATGTTCTTGTGGCAGTTTCTAAAGCCTGTTAAACTTATATTCTGTCATTGAAGTATGTGCATTCCTCCAGACATTCAGAAATCGGTGTTGCTGAAAACCAGCAATAAGCCTGAGAGCATTTCGGTCACTACAGAAGCCTGATCTTGTTAGTGAGGCACTACAAAGGATGAATTTGCAGAGGGCTATGTGCATCTGGGTTGAGAGGAGGATGAAAGCTTAGTTTTAAAGCAAAGAGTGCTGAGAGCTGGAGGTCCGGGACCTTTCTGGTGTTGACTTCTTGTGTTGTCTTAAGTGTTGGGAGCCTGGTGGCCCAGCTGCTCTCTCTGGAGTATCCTTCCTTGTAGCATTTGGGGTTTTTTGAGCACTAACTCAGAAACGAGTGGGGCATTCCAAGGTGGGATCCCTGAACTGAAGTGTCTGTAAGCTCCAGAATATTGCTTTCTGATGATCCAGGCAGTGTTTACTGTTGATCAGCAGTAGATGCTCATGTGCTGAGGCATAACGGGCTAGTGCATAATGGTGGGCTTCAGTTAAAATGAATTACAGGAAAAACTCAGTTTCAGCACCATGATTAAAAGCACTGTAGAAGGTGAACGGAGCAAGGCCCCTGAGTCGGCGTTGTGCCCACAGTGGGAGCTTGCACCGCGGGAAGCTTTGCCTACTCCGTGGGGGGACAGTGGCTCCCCCCCAGCCCCCCCCCCCCCCCC